TCTCTCTCTCTCTCTCTCTCTCTCTCTCTCTCTCTCTCTCTCTCTCTCTCTCTCTCTCTCTCTCTCTCTCTCTCTTATTCTTTCACTCGCTCAGTCAGACTCTCTTCTTTCTGCCCTCTTTTCAGCGTCGCGTTGGATGCCTCCCCCTTTCTTTCCGTCTCTTTCTCCCCCTGAATGTATCTCCTTCTCAAACTTGGGTGACGATATTCAGATCCTTTCCATCGACCGGGTAAATGTGGATTGTGAACCACTGCCGCTCCTCTATAGTACAATTCTTCCCGAACGTATTACACGTCGCTATATGTTTCCGACATTCCCTCTGGAATTTCGAATTTGTAAGTTCTCAAGTGACCGAATAACACTCGAAACAGTCTTCAGGTCAGTCGGTCGTACTTTCGAGCCTCTCGAAATACCGATGCTCAAACTTTCCGACTTTTTGTTGCCTACATTTTCTCCGTATAGGGACGTTGTGTATCACACTGCACACTGTGTAGGAACGAGTATCCTTCGGCGTAAATTCGGAGGAAATTCACTTGTTAGCTCTGCGTGCGCATCGGACGGAAAGGGTATCGTAGCGGACGTTACGGACTTTCTTATCGCGTTGCGCGCGGCACCCTCACTCTTCTGCCCCGTGGAAGCGCTCGCTTCGTGGCGAACTCGCGAGCCAGATACCGGCGCGGCGTGTTCTCAGTCACACGCACGAAGATGTCACGCGTGTTATATCCGTCCTATGCGCGAAGAAACGGCCACCTGTTCGCGTCCTGACTCGCGAAGAACTTTTCCGAGAGAGAGAGAAGCGACTTGCTCTGTCTCTCTCCCTCTCTCTCTCTCTCTCTCTCTCTCTTGCTATCGTCTCTCGCGTGCTCACAACGCAGTCTATGTCTAGCACAAAACCGGCCGCCGATATCTCAGTCGACGAATTTTCTCCTCCACGCTCCGACTCGCGCGCGCGCGAGCGGACGTCAAGTCACACACATGCACACTCACGCGCGACACCACGCACACACATACACGCGCGGCACACACACTGCGACTCGCGGTGAATTCGGGCCGCCGCTAACTCGACACGCGTCTCCGCGCGCTGTTTACTTTCCCGCCGTGACGTGCGTATGCACGAATATAGACGACGACGACGACGAGTACACACCACCGCTCGCGTGTTCCACGATCCGCGATTACGACATGCTAGACACGCAATCGCTCGGCGAAAAAAGGGGGAGAGTTAACGCCACTGGCCAACGACGGCGAAGCGTCCGTTGCGGCACGTGGCCGTCACGTCGTCGGTGTCGCGTTTACGCGCAGCATCTACGTTGGGGATCGACGTTACTCGCTGTCTGCATGCGGCCATCCCGCACTGATGGCGGTCTCTTTCTCTCCTGTTTCCCTTCCCCCTCTCACCCCTCACCGTGTGATGTTGTATACGCCTACGCCGGCTCGTAGTGTCACTACTCTACGCGTACCACGCCGGCTGCTCTAACGGGATTCCCGCATCCCTTAGGTATACGCAGCCCCCCCTCTCTCACTTGGACGCTCTCAGTCGCCACTGGGCGACCCGAAAACCAAACCGACGCGAGCACGCCGTCGGTGCTGCCCGATCGTCTGCGTAACGACACGAGTCGGCATTCTCTTCCCGCGCTTTAACAATTACGATTTTGCTGCGACACCGATCACGACGCACTCCGGTGTGTGTATATGTATATAATGCGTGCGTGCGTACGTGCGATGTGTATGAGTGTAGTAGATATTGCGCGCCGTATCTCCAGCTGATTCGTTCGACCGGCAATTCCTTTCTTATCACCGCGAGAAATCGTACACACGACTCACAAAAAAATCCAACTCCCTAGGCTCGCGCGCTTCTCCGAGGCGGTGAGCCTCGCGAAGACGTCGCGCGTTTGTAAGCAACTATGCAAACTCGCGAGATCACACTAGCCACACTCGTCGTCTCGTCGAGAGGAAGGACGCCACGCTTGTTTGGATGGAGAGGACGCACTTTCGACGCACTGCCGCAGCAATAACAACAACAACAACAACGTATCCCAAACACACCGCCGGCGCCGGGAACGGACGCGTGAGGAAGAGCGCGCGCGTTACCGCCGCGCTGCGTGTCACACCGGGCTACGAACGACGAGAGCCGCACGAAACACAGTACCACTCTCTACGGAAGCGCTCGCGTTACTGCGGACGCCGCGCACGGCGGCGCTGCAGTCGCTCCGTCGAGAACGCCGCTCGACGACGAGGGAGGGGGGGAAGCAGCACGCACAACGGAGCGGCGGGTGAGTGGAGCGAGAGAAGATCGCTAGGTCGTCGAAGAGAAGTTGTGGGACGTCAGGCGGGGGTCACAGGCGGTGTGAGGGAACCTCACGCACGATGCTTGCGCGAATGAAGAGGTGGAGGGGTGCCACGTGAGCGCCCGACGCCCGGCGTCCACAACGAACGCGCTCCTAATCTCACGTGTCATGCCCGGCGAACTCTTTCGGGACGCTCGCTCGACGACCCGTGGATTTCTCGCGATGAGAACCGCTCCGCCGTGAGCGGAGAACGCGAGTCTGATAACAGTCAGAGCGCAGAGCGAATACGAGCGCTTCGGGGTTTCATGTGGCGCGCGTACAATCGTTTGCATAAAGATCACGACACTTTTTTGCAGTTCCTCTAATCAGAGTTAGAAGATGATGATTGATGATTAGTCTGCATCTTCTATCCGCCAATTTTAGGGAAAACGTGACTGAAAATGGGAGAGAAACTCTAGTAGGAATGAGAAACTCCAGGAATAAAATAAAATGACGAAGCAAGTTGCAGTTTCTCTCTCACTCACTTCCTCCCTACAATTGGCGAATGATATCCCAACTCTGAGTTTTGAGGAACTCTGAGACAAGTTTCTGTGCAATATATATATGATATATTAACACTTTTGTTTATAAATTACTTTTGTAAGTTAAGAGACTGCAGCTGTTTGCATAAAGGTAGCGACACCTTTTCTTGGACAAGTTTATGAACACGTGAATTTAACAAGACTGCGAACCTCTGTACACGAGTTTGAACATTGAGAGGTTTGAAAGCTGTTAACTTTTCAAATACAAAGTGTACAAAAGTAATTTGTAAATAAAAGTGTTAATATATCATTGTATTGCACAGAAACTTGTCTCAGAGTTCCTCAGAACTCAGAGTTGGGATTTTTACTGTTAGATTTTATTCTTACTTAGAGTTTTCTACTGAACGTCTACTGTACGTTGCTAAAATACGAGTTCGTACAATAAGAGAAAAACATCTAAAAAATAAAATAAATATTGATTCGAGAGAGAGAGAGAGATGAATGAGTACTAATAATAAATATATTTCATACAAGTAAATATGTATGTTATTGGTACCCACTGAATATTGTTTCATTTCTTAAATATTTTTCTCTCAGTGTATGTGCGCGACTTGAATAAAAGGGGAATCGATGAATTCCGGTTGAAGTCTCGCTCGACGTATCCTATTATCCATCGAAGGGTACTTTGATTTTTTCCTCACCATTTCTTACTTCGAGTCTGAGTGTTATTCAATCCCCTGAGTATCTCATGTATCTCATGTATCGATGGCGTTAATTGGTCGCGAGACGCGCACGATTTTCTTCGTTTCGTTTTGATTCTCCGCCGATATGTGTATTGACAGATCTTACGGAAGTATCCTCTTTCTGCCGCGTAATCTATCGAAGAGATACGCGTAGAACTCGCGACGCATGTCGCATTAAACGCGATCGTGTTTGGGAAATACGAACGTACAACGCGGGATGTGGCCGCGTAACGAGATCCGGAAACGCCGGTATCCGATTCTGTTTGGTAAATTATTGCTCGCGAAGGAGGAAGCCGTATCTACGGCCAAAGTCGGCGGGGATCCGAAGTTTCACTTTCCGTGTGATTCGAATCGCTCAGCTCCCTCCTCCTCCACCATCTCCTCCTCCTCCTCCTCCTCCTCCTCTATCTCCTCCGCGCTACCCTCCTTCCTCCCCTTCCGGCTCCTCTTCTACCTCGTAAGGATTGATTCGAGGGTGTCCGCTAGGATCACCGTAGTCCGGAAATCCGATTCATC